CCCACGATATGACGGATTACAAGAACTATATTTTCTGTACATTTTCGATGTATTACATTTTTCACTATGATAGTGACAAGAAAAGTTTATTTTTTTTCATTACAAACCTTGAACATTGATATGCGTCATGTCAGAAGGTCGTAGCCTCAGTCTCGCTATCTACGAGAAGAGACTTGAATGGGATCTTGACATGATGTCACCATACAGTACTATGCGAGTTGCAAACCCCAAGTAATGTACCTCTGATTATATCTATAATTATGACGTATTTTCACTATTCGAAACTTTGGCAGAACACCATGACCAATATAATACACAGTTTCCTGGTTGCACTGTTTTCAGTCTACCACGAAGACCAAAAACACTGTCAATTTTCGAGGGGGGGGGGGGTTGTATTAATTAAGGACTGCATATCTAGATACGTTGAACGTATACATGTAGCATTTCACGATTGTGTTATTTTATTATTCAAATGGTAGTTATTCAATACTGAGAAAGATGTCCTATTTTGTAGTGTTTGTATACCGCCACAAACATCCACAATCTTCCACAGTCTGGACACTAAAATGATATCAAACTATTAAAGATTAAATCAATAAATATATTGACAAGCCTCCCAGATGTTCATATTATTATTCATAACCTATTTTAAGGTCTTTGATAAAATGATACTACCAATACTAACGTACTAGCCAGTTAAATAAATAGATTGAAAAACAAACGCGCTTGTTATGAGGTTTAGTTCAATAGGAAGATTCATAAACGGACTCTGGACAAGAAACTAGTGGAGAGTCTATCACTTTTTATAGGCAAACATTTCTCAATGCATGTACATTACGAGGGGCGTTCAATAAGTAATGCCCCTGACCCATTCCCCATAGCAGGAGATTAATAAAACTTGGCACAGTTATTAGTCTTTTTTTAGTTATGCATTTCTCCCATCGTTTGACTGGATGCAGCTCTGGACACCGTTTTTGTAGAACACTCGAGGTTGGTCTCCAACCACGTCGTAACTTCAGAAACCAAGGCTGCATCATTTGGAAAACGCTTTCTTTTTAATGAAACAACTTCATGGCTGGGAAGAGATGAAAGTCAGAGGATGCAAGGTCAGGAGAGTAAATGGGATGGGGATAGATTTCATCTGGTGACATGCGAGTTGTGGACCGGAGCGTTGTTCTGCAGGAGGAGGATACCTTAAGTTTGCTGATCTTGCCCAGCCTCTTGATTTTGGTAGCGTCGCTTAATTTCATCAAAAGTGAAGCTTAATAGGCTCCTGTAATTGTGGTACCCTTTGCCAGGAAGTCTGTCAACACTACCGTCCTGATCCCAGAAGACTATGAGCATGACCTTTCCAGTGGAGGGCTGCACCCTTGCCTTCTTTGGAGGTGGTGAGTCCAAGTTCTTCCACTGCATTGACTGGGTCTCTGGATCATAGTGATTGACCCAAGTTTCATCCTGTGTAATCAGTCTTTTGAAAATTTTTGACTCATCTTCTTGGCACATCTCCAAATTCATCCTCAGTACTCGACGCGTTTTTGCTTCTGGAAAGGTGTGAGCAACCTAGGAATCCATCTGGCAGACACCTTATGCATATGCAAATGGTCATGAATGATAGTTTTCACAGACCATGTACTAATCTTGACCTCTTGGGCTATTTAGCAAACAGTAATGCGTTGATCTTCCAAAATGGCTGCCTCAACTTGACGGACAGATTCCTCATCAATGGCAGAAGAGGGACGACCAGGTCTGGGAGCTGTTTCCACAGACTTCCGACAATTCACGATGCCAGCGTTTTACAAAGTCATATGATGGGGCATCATCACCATAAATTTCTTTCATTTCATCAAAAGTCTCCTTTGGTGTGCGTCCTTTCAAATACAGAAACCGGGTCACTGCGCGACACTCAATTTCCCGCCTGACTCAGTTCAAAAACCTGTAAATCAGAAACCACAATTAGTTCAGAGCTGTTTTTGCAACATAACTCATAGAGATGTAAATCATTACACATGCAAAATTTCATTTACATCAGACACCTGGAAGTGGGTCAGGGGCATTATTTAGCAGTGTGTCATTTATTTTTCTTAAAATCAAAATGTTTTTAATCTCAACTTAACATAAATTGTTTAATATACGTGACATATTCAATAGAGTTCTAGAGCACTTGGAACGGCTTTAAGTAACACAATTTTTACTTTTGGATTTTCTAATTGCCAATTGCACCTCCTTATTTTGTCTGGGTGCTCATACATGTATATGGAAATCGAAATACAATGTTTGAAATCAGTGAGGTGCAAAGGTCACCACACAGCGCGTCAGTCCTCGGGCGGCAAATACTGTATTTTACACGAGTTGTGTGCGTCACATGTCAACTATATCGAACACGGCGCGACGATTGTGGTGCTTTAAATACCACTATTAATACATATGCACGGCGTGAATCTGTCGCATTACATGTCAATAACATGCATAAAAGATTTCAAACAATAACTTTTAGATTTGTTCTGCGTTTTATCAGATATTTGGACGACCCGAAATTTGTCTGCGTTTTGACATCATATCTTTTGCGAGGGGCGGGAAATATCAGTTCCTCCAGTGGGCAGGGTAGATTTCTAAAAAAAATGCAAGGACAGGGAAACTTTTTTTAGTGGGTAGGGTACTTACATAAAAAAATATCACAGGGTGGGCAAAACAGCATTTAGGGCAGGGTATAATAAAACACGCATTGACGAAAATAACATCTGCTAAATGTGGGCAGCCGTGTGCTATCAATAACTGAAAATTCGAGTTACCCACTGATCTGCTGAGTAGAAGCCAATGACACGATGAATTACGCCATCAATCGATGTTTTTAATGAAAGAGGGGGGTAAATTTGATCGGCAGGAGAACAAGAAAAACAAGTTGGTGGTAGGGGAGTAGGCAAAAAGTGTTTTTTTTAATGAGGGCAGGGGAAAGATGAATTTTGACAACAGGAGGGAAAGACAATTTTCAGGTGGAGGGTAGCTTATGAACAGCTTTTAATTTTCTCTCTTTCCTTTATATTAATTAGCATACTAAATAAAGTTTGTCCCAGAGAATTGACTATTTCAATTTATTGCTCGTTGGCTGCACCTGATGTACGTCTCATATCTCACTCAACGTTTAGTCTATCATATCTCCGAAATCGAAGCAAGCACGAAGAAACCTTCACTGTATCGTGTAAATTTTAGTAAATGTACTGCAAATGAAATCACTGCTCTTTGTGATTGACAAAGATTGATAGGATACACAATAAGTTATTTTTGAAGAAATTTTATTTTTTTCTTAGCAAAAGAACATTATTTCCTGTGTAAAGTATTAAAATTTGTTGATTTACAACTCAAGCGTTCTCTTACATCAATTTCACAATGACTAAAGACGAATGAAAATAACATCCAATGTGGTACAAGACTGTAAATGTTTCCAATATACAAACGAGACGTCACGTTGCTATGCAATGACGTTGTTCATCATCCAAAAGAGCGACGTAAACGTATGGGTCAGAATTTCAATGTTACCTCAAACAAATTAAATGAGTTGTCTGAAAA